GTGTGTGTGTGTGTGTGTGTGTGTGTGTGTGTGTGTGTGGCAGCGTGCCCAAGGCTGATGTTGCTAAATATGACCACGCGTTCCCAAAGAAGTAAATAATAAAAGATGGATGCATGCCCGTTTACATAAATACCTCTTTTTTTTTGCTTTGTTTCTATTATTTTCTTACTGCTCTTTTCATGTTTGTTTTCTGTCTCCTCCTCCTCTGTCACTGCCAGAAAAAAAAAAATGTGGCAGTGCATGTGTTCATTGTTTTGACAGTGTTGCATTTCTAAGAACTGTGGACTGGTTTCCTGGAGGTTTTACCCAGGCTGGATCAAAACTGTGTTGTAACATAAGCTGTGTGTGGGGGTGGGAGGGGTGGAATCAAACTTTCCAGCATGAAAAACAACATCAAAAATTAAAAAATAATAACGAGTTGGGAATTTCAGCATCAAGCGCAGATAGTTTGCGAGGAGGATTATGTTGCAGATTATTCCCTGGCATCTTGGCAAACAAACAACAAGTTTCAAGCTGCTTGGTTCAACTTGTTTCTTTTTTTGGTTTGTGGCTCTCGAAGAAATCCAAAAACCAACAAGTTGTTTTGTCTGGGGTGGAAAGAAATCTGTCTCAGTGAGTTTGTTGCTGAAAAGCACCTGGCAGATTGCAGAGGCAGTGAGCCAGAAGTGAAAGGAGGATGATGAGTGTGCCATGTCACTTACAGCAGGAGGAAGGCTGCAGGTCACATGACCTCGGCTGGCAAAAGCTCTGTGTTTACATCCTGTGATGGTCACTTATCGGTTATTACTGGTGCACAGGGAGAAGATGTGTGTGCTTCACACTGTGTTGTTTGATATTGTGCTTATATATGAATCATCTCAATCGTAACGAAACAGGAGTTTTCATTTTTTACATTTAAACAGTTAAAGTAGCATTCTGTGAAGGTGTGCAAATYCTATGCTCGTGTTTTAAACAAACATCTTCCTCAATCTATTATCTCTCTATTGCCATGTGTTACGATGACTCTCAACTACTAYCAAACCAAATTTGAGCTCCAAATCTTTAAAACAGACTGAGTTAGAGCCATTTATGTGTTTGCYATGATGGATTAGCTTTTCTTGCCACCCAAAATCAGGTTGTCTCCAAACCTTAACCAGTCATAGATGCACATTCAATGATTGTTTTCAGTAAGTTTCATCAAAATCAGTCAACTGGTTCATAAGATATTTTGCTAACAGACAGCAAGAGAGAACCACCACAGTAAATGCCATAACGTTAAAAAAAATGTCACCCGATGTGTTGTGCTTGGATTATGTGTTGGGCATGATTCTGGGCTACTCCACAACAAATCTGGGCTTAATAAATGCAAAACTGACTGAGTTGTAGCCTTTTTTGTTATTGCTGAGATTGTGTGTCTATGGCGGCCATCTTCAATTGGACTGACTCCAAAATTGAATCAGTTGTAGATGTGCTTCCAATGACTAATTTGGGAGAGTTTTATTTAAATCCACCCAGTAGTTCAGGAGACATTTTGCTAACAGACAGGTAGTTTATTTAGTTTCTGCTTGTGGTTTTTAATGAAGCTGCAGAACACAAATACAAAAATGCTGAGTTGTGTTGAACAATTGATGCACAACCTGTCTGTTGACTTTGGAGTGGACCGCAGGGAGGTCATAAAGTGCAACGTGTCCTGATTGACTTGATGTATGTGATCTATCCCGTCCTTCGGTTGCTCCCTGTTTCAGCAGCTCAAAGAAARGCAGAGCACTGAAACTGCCCCGAGGTAAAACAATCCGTTTGTGGGCTTAAATCTGCAGCTTAGTCTTAAATAAGCCATTATGCTCATGCTGCATGAGAAGAATAACATCTAAAGAAGCTGTATTTCCTGATGTGCTGTGAGTCATTCACTAGAACCTTATGCAACGACGTATTTCTTCTGTGTCGTGTGTCTGCGAGGCACATTAAACTGACCCAAAATCGGAAAAAAATTGCATAATTTCACCATTTTTATTGCATCTCCATCAACTGATACTCCTGTGGAGGAAGAAAGCTGTGCAGCACTTACAGTATGCACAGGGTGCATTTGTCACACTTCAARCAAAATTTATTCAGTTAAAGTGGATTTAATCTGTCAGGATTACACAAAAAAGCACAACACTTACGTGTTGTTTTACTTTTATTATTAAGGAAAGCACAGAACATACAGTATATGTATATATATATATGTGTATATATATATATATA